CCGCTTCACTTCCTTTTCGTTTGAACTCGTGCGCCTTGATCGCTCCGTTCGGTGTTCCAATGATGAGCTCCTGACTCTTCTCGTTAATTCCCAAAAACACTCCACTTTCCCATCTCATTTCAAGCTTTTCACGGCCTTTGTGCGCAGGCGTCTTTAAATGCATGACGCATTCACCAAACTCAGGAATTTGTTTGTTAAACTTTCTCCCCCTACATCTTTCATGGGCTGTCTCTCCATCTGTATATATCGTGAATTTGTTAATCAGAGAAGACGCATAACTTACCATCCATGGTATAATCGTATGGCTTTCACTAAACTCGGTCTTGTAATTGGCATCCAAGGCGCTCTTTAATGTCCTGACTTGTCCTTGCACCGTTCTAACAGCTCTCTCAATGTCACCGTTGGCCTTTGAATCGCCTACAGGACTGACTTCAACACCCATGTCAAGGTCACTGGACGCTCTCATCCTGTTGGCCAGCGCCGTAATTGCCGCTTCTCCATCACTTTTAAGTATAACCTTCTTATATCCGGTAAAGCCGATCATGTCACATCCCACTTTTACTGAGTATGGATCCACCCCTTTCTTCAACAACACTCGGCTCCACGTTAATTTGGTTTCCCTGCAATGCATGGCCAGAATTGGGTTGCCATTGCTAGCACTTTCGCCTTCTTCCTTTCTTCCTTTAAGCCACATGTAATCCATTGAAATTACTGGTGCACCTCCGTTCCTTCCCCTTTTACGTCTCCTGTGATTGCGCCTACGCGCCTTGCCTCTAACGCAATGTGGGCACCAACTTCGGTAAGGTAAATGCGTTGCATTATGCGCCTCAACTTCCTCCTTTGACGGTCTCATGTCACAGTAAACTTTCTTCGGTAACTCTGCTTCGTCACTCACAAACACGTCTTCTACGTCACTCAACTCACTTTCGCTGCCCCCACTTTCACTCCCTTCGCTTTCTTCGGCGTTAAAGACGTTTAAGTTTTCGCTTGGTCTTACGGGTAATGAGGGGCTTAGTAGAACAGGTCCGCCTCGAGGGTTCCCAGCCGCGGAAAACCCTCAGCTGCGTTTACTTCACTCTTGGGCTTGACAGCCTCCACTGGTCCCTTCGGCACCATGATGTTAAACTGGAACGCGCCGTTCTTCTCGTGGATGGTCGTACATTTACCCGTGGCCTTATTCATAATATGACTCAGGGATCTCCCGTTAAGGTCCTTGTCGAATACAACTCTGTTTCCAGCGTTTACCATTTCTCTGACAGATCCCAGAACTTTGTTGACTTCCGCCACTTGAATTGGCATGCTGACTGAACTTCCATGTTCATTCTTGCCGGTGACTACTCGCTGCCCGTAATTCTTTATCGTCGTTCCGTTTGCCGCGCTGTAGTGTCTTCCCTGCTTTGACGCATCTGTCTGTTCAATGGGGAAGTAGGTGCCTATTCTTGGGGGTCCTACCGTGTTGTACGCTCCAGAGTCCACGGTAACCACGATTGTTTCGGGCGTTGTACTCTGAGGTGGCACCGCGTTAATTTCTGGATCACAGTCTCGCATTTCGCTTAGCCCAATTTCTCCACATTTCTCCAACCAACTCTTTTCCTGCTTTATGCTTTTACTTATCCGCTGGCCCCACTGATTTACATGGTTGCAGTTCCCGTTGCACTGATGCTCCTGGTAAGCTTTTCTCAGGTCCACTGCGACTTTACGCGCCATTTTCTCTCTGGAATGCGAGGGCAGTGCCCATTGTTCGTTAATCTCCTCAGCTGCGGGCGGTTCCGGTGGCGCGTTCACTTCATCATTCATCTCAACACTGAGCACTCTCTTGCTCACCTTCGTTGGCGGTCTGCTTGGGACCTGGGCAGTTAACGGCAATGTGCCCTTTAGCACCACACTTGTAGCACTCGCGCTCGCTGTGGGGGGTAAATCTGCCTTGGCCACCGTAACTTCCACCTTAGGCTTTGTACAGTTCCTGGCTAAATGACCCATGCCTCCGCGATTGTAACATTTGGGGCCCGAGCCTTTGCCTTTACCCTTGTTTACGGCGTCAACTTCCTCATGGTCTCCAGTTTCACTTTCATTAGCCCAGGACCCGTAACTCCAAGATCCGTCCTCTGGCCACCAATTTCCATCTTCGTCAACCCATCCTGTCTGATCCCAGACAGTTTCGGACCCTTGAATCGTCTCGTTAATATTTCCAATGTCCATCGCATCTTTATTTTTAGTGTCTGAGTCGAGTTTCTTCTTACGCGCCCAATCTTCACACTTGGAGTATAGCTTTTGGAACGAGTCAATGTTAAGTGCGTCGGGCGTCCGCCAACGCGCCTGCTGCCACTCGTCAAACCAATCGTTCGCATGCACCATTATTGCCCTGAGCGCGGTAACCTTACAGGGGAGGGGCAGTGAGTAATCCTTGCCATACTTTTCAAGATTCTCCGCTAACGCGCTCCACTCCTCAAGTCGGGCAACGGTATCGGTAATTTTCTTGGGCGGCTCAGGGTTCATAGCGTGCGTCATCTTTGAGGAAAAGGTCGCTCCGGTAACAGCCGAGTACCATTTGTAAACCTTTTGCCAAGCCATAATTCCGTCACCGTCCATGAGTCCCTTTAATGTTCCCCTTGCTTCTGCACCTTCAACCTTTTCGTTAAGGATGTACCATAAGTCTTCCTCCATTTGAGTTTTGTCTCCCTCGGTCAACTCATAATCTCCTTTGTTGTCATCCTCTGCTTGTTTAGCTTGGGTTGCCTTTAAGTATTCGCTTGCTGTTAACCGACCGTTCATTATGCGTATGATATCATCATCATCTTCCTCTGGGACAACTCCGTCGAGTGTCTCCAACTTCTTGTTCAACATTTTCAGTGCCGGTCGGTAACTCGGTTTTACTTGGGCAAGCGCGTTTAAGAACTTGTCGCTCCAGTCTCTGAACTTTGCTCTTTCTCCACTGAAGTTCTTTAACGCCTGTAATGCTTTGTACTCGCTTATCGGTTTACCGCTCCCGCGCTTATTTCCGCTTCCGCCTTTGATTGCTTCCGAAAGTTGACCAAATTTGTCAATCAACTTCTCTTGTACTTCGCCGTTGGTCTCCAACTCGGTAACTCTTTCTACCAACCTGCGAGCATCCCTTTCAAGCGCAGCGCTTCTCTTCGTTATCGCTAACAACATACTGTTGGTCTTCTGAGAGCTCTGTAACATTTGAAATGCCTCAACGTTCGATACTTCCCTTCGGTCCTGTGTCACTCGCTCGTTAATGAACGTCGCTAGTCCATAATGATTTGCAAGTAACGCCGTCTGCGCGTAACTGAAGTCCCCGTTCAGGTATGCCTGCTCGCACAGGTCGTTGAAGCGGTTAGGGTCCATGTTGACCCATGCATCTCTGTCCGCCGGCACGTTAAGGTTGACCGGCGGGTCGCCCTGCGCGGGCCTAGCTGCAGCGGCCGCCGCCGCCGCCATGGCAACCGCGCTCCGCTACCATGCAAAACCCCGAGGAAGGTTCTGCACGGGAGCTCGGTGACAGCGATGACGATCGGTCACCTTTTTACTTCCGCACGGCGAAGCGAGTCTCGGTAGCTTCAGCCGTTAAACATTTGAGCCAAATGTAAAGGGGCACCTTCACTCCCCAGTCACCTGAATGCTTGCATGTTAACACCTCCTCCCCCTCCTCCTCCTCCTCCTCCTCCTCCTCCTCCTCCTCCTCCTCTCCTCCTCCTCCTCCTCCCTCTCCTCCTCCTCCTCCTCCTCCCCCTCCCTCCTCCTCCTCCTCCTCCTCTCCTCTCCTCTCCTCCTCCCTCCTCCTCCCCCTCCTCCTCCTCCTCCTCCTCCTCTCCTCCTCCTCTCCTGCTCCTCCTCCTCCTCCTGCTCGTCCTGCTCGTCCTGCTCCTCCTGCTCGTCCTGCTCGTCTACGAACTGTGGAATCGCTGGACGGCACCAGTGTCGTTCAGGTCCGCAGTCAAGAGGTTCGCCTGCTGCAGCTGCGTCACCAGGAGGGGCGGCTCCACCGAGGATGGGGCGGGCACGAAATCCACGGCCAGCGGGTCCAGGCTCTCGGCAACAGGTGGGGCGATGTGCGTGGAGGCGACCGCAACGTGACGCCCCGAGGAGGAGGATGATGATGAAGAGGATGAGGATGAGGATGATGAAGATGATGATGAGGAGGAGGAGGAGGAGGTGGAGGAGAAGGAGGAGGAGGAGGAGGAGGAGGAGGAGAGAGGAGGAGGGAGGAAGGAGGAGGAGGGAGGAGGAGGGAGGAGGAGGGGAGCAGGAGGAGGAGGAGGAGGAGGAGAGGAGGAGGAGGCGGAGGAGGAGGAGGAGGAGGAGGAGAAGGAGGAGGAGGAGGAGGAGAGAGGAGAGAGGAGGGAGGAGAGAGGAGGGAGGAGGAGGAGGAGGAGGAGGATGAGGAGGAGGAGGAAGAGCAGGAGGGGAGAGGAGGGAGGAGGGAGGAGGGGGGGGGAGGATGGATGAGGGGGAGAAGAGTGGGGGATGAGAGAGGAGGAAGGAGGCGTGGAGGGAGAGTAGAGAAGCAGCGCGGGGAGAGCAGCCTGCCGCCTACAGATTCGAGGGAGGGAAGGAAAGGGTTCTTCTGCTGCTGGTCCTTCTCCTCCTCCTCCTGGTCCTCCTCCTCCTCCTCCTGGTCCTCCTCCTGGTCCTCCTCCTGGTCCTCCTCCTGGTCCTCCTCCTCCTCCTCCTCCTCCTCCTCCTCCTCATGTTCCTCCGCAGCCTCCTCATCGTAATACTCCACCCCTTCATCCTTCCTCGTCCTCCTCCTTCTGCTCCTCCTCCTTTATCCTCATCAACCTACTTCGTGGACTGTCGCATGATGCGCTCTTGCAGCTGCTGCCTAGATAAGGCACATTCGTGGACGGCCGATTCGATCCGATCCACCAGCGACTCATCATCATCCATTTCCCTCGTCCTCCTTCTTCTCCCCATCCACTTTCCCCAGTAAGTGGGCAGAGAGAGAGAGAGAGAACGCCGCGGGAGACAGCAAACACTGATACTGAAATCCACGCAGCCTGGAACTTCTCTTGTCCGGCAGTGTCCCAAATCTGCATCGCGAACTCCTCGCCTTAGATTTTGCCAGTACGAGGAATAGGATGCGAAGAAAGTGAAGCGGTGAGAGGCTGAGAAAATTCGACTGAAAGTCGCTGGGGTACCAGAAAGTACGAACATGCCAACCTGGAGACCTGGAGAGAAACCACTGCAACAATTGATGAACTTCACAGAGCCCGGACGGCGAGGGTCGCAGAACATGCGCAAACATGCCACACGTGATGCAGACTCTCCGCATAGCGCCCATTCAATCACCTACTACCCCCTCCTTCCTCTCCACGTGTTCCTTCTCCACATGCTCCTCTTTCCCCCCATCGTCTGTTACCTTGTCCCGTTCGCCCTCCTCCACCTCTTCGGTTTCCTCCTCCATGTCGTCCTCATCCCCCTCCACTTCCACCTCCCTGTCCGCTTCCATCCCTCGTCCTCACAGTACCCCTTCCTCGTCGCACCACCAGACCTGGAGGCAAGGCGGGCGATACGTTTCGCCTGAGAATTCCCGATCATTTCTGGTTGTGAGCCTTGAACTTGCCAGCGGCTACATGGACGAAGTTTTTTTTCGCAATGGCTTTAGTCTTAAACCCGCGCGCATTTGCCTTCAAAGCCCACAGCAGCTACAAAGATGGAGGTCTCTGTTGGGGTTTCAAGTGTTGCGGTCTCCTCAACGCCACGCGAATTCGTCCTACACTTTACAACAAGCCCGACGATGGAGAGCGGCCCATTATCACAATGTCGTTGTCGCCTTAGGTCCGCGCGCACTCGTCGTCTTGAAAACTTCAAACTGTTACACGGGTGGAGGGCGTACAAACGACTCTGGACGCAAGCCGAGGCTTGAGCGGTCGTTGCACGGATGAAGGGCTGCTCCTTTTCAACATGAGTCTCTCGCGGGAGTCCCTCGAACGTACGAGCCAAACACTTCAATGGTGCTACAATTGTGCGGGAGGCGGGAAGTTCCTTTTTCAAATTGGGTTTGCCCGCACACTGCCCGAAAATGTTGAGCAAACCTCCTGGCATCTCCCGAAGTTGGACAAATGAATGGCGCCCCGCTTTCAAAACGGAGCCTTCGCCGGAATGGCAGACTCATGGGACTTCGCGCAAGCGGGAACGACTGCTTGTCAGGAGTGAAACGAAGGGGATTTGTGTCGGGCGGGCGTGTTACAGCATCAGTCGTGCATCCTGGGGATATGCGGGATTTCCAGAACCACCCCCTTTTCCTCCCCGCCTTCGCTCCCTCCCTCCTTCCCTTATCCCCCTCTGTCTCTCTGACTGTCTGTCTGTCTCGCACTGTCCCTCTTTTAGTTTCTCTCCCTCTCTCTCTCTCTATCTCCCTCAATTTCCATCATGCTGCGTCTTTGTTTCATTATCTTTCCCTTTCGCTCTCTATGTCTCTCTCGCTCTCTCTCGTCCTTCCTCTCTCTCTCTCTGTCATGTTATGTTCTGTTCTGCGCTGGCGGCATGGAAGCCCCGTCAACGGGGACCACCGCTGGAAAACGAGACATCACTGAGAGCTTCGGGAGACACGCCTGGCGATTTGCCGGCGCAGCAGCCCCGGCCGCGCAACTTTCATGATAGCATGATAAAAATCTACGTTGCTGCGAAAACGCTCTCTGCCTGCTTCCAGCGAGCTCGGTCTTGGGCCCGTTGCATCCAGTCGGCTGCGGTGCCAACTGGATCACCACATTCGACCTCGCAGTAGTAGTAAGCTGCTAATTGGAACTTTGAAGCGCACCTTTTGTCACGGCGCCGTCTGTGACGGCGCTTCCGCCATGCGAAACGCCGGGCGCGCGCGGCAACCTGCGCAGATGCCGCCCCTGGCCGCGACATGCCCAGCAAAGCGATATAGACGCACTCGTCTCCACTGTTCTGCAGAACCACCTGCGTCTTCCATAAAGGCGTGGCCAATCCTGTAGACTCAACTCCGGAAAACGCCAACATGCCCATCGCTGCAACACCGAATCCAGGCAATATCTGACGCGCCTTTTGCTGCCCAACTGTTGGAATGCTGCTTCTACGATTTGGTTTAAGTCCATGTTTCTGCAAGCCGCAAGGCAGATGCAACAATAATTGGCGAGCCCAAAGCTTGTCTCTTCCTTCTGTGGGCATGTCTACGCTGGAAGACATATTGCCAGCGGTAGTGCACCTTGTCAGCCTGCTCCATGAGAAGCTCCACGACAACGAAAGCTATCGATTGGGACCGAGGTATCTCCTCATTCCGCGGCCAAGAACTCAAGCAAGTCTTGTCCGATCCGGCGTCAAGCCCCGCTGCTGGAAAGGAAAAAACAACCGCGTCCGCCATCGTAGCCCGAGGTCCGGGCAATGCCTTAGCAACCAGAGGGAATCATCAACGAGAGCGACTGCTCCGAGCCAGAAATTGTCAAGATACCAGCCTTTCTCCTTGGGCCGCTTGTTGGACAGCAACGGTCGCAACGCCATCTCTGTGACCATGATGAACAGAATTGGCGACTCTGGCACGCCTTGCGGCACTCCCCGTTCGAGAGGTACTGGGCCCGACGCGGCGTGGCCGAGGGCGAAAGCAATCTCCGCGCTCATCCACGCGGCGCGCGCCGCGGCGACGCGCAGCAGAAATGCGCCCTGGAGTTTGAGAGTTCTGCTGATCGCCGAAAGCAGCGCTCTGCCGAAAGCCCGGTTTCAAATCCAGCTGGACTACAAAGATCTCATTGCCCCATTCGCGCGTCAATTCCGCAGCGCGCTGCACGGCGCGCGCCGCCTGGGAGGCATGACTGCCGGGAACGAAACCAATCTGAAACGACTCCAAGCGTAACGATGGCCACATGCGTTGCCGAGTAGAGCCCCCCCAACCCCCCAAGGAGGCTCGGCGATTCCGGAATTCGCCATGGCACCCATCGCCGAGATGACGTTTCGTTCCGCGGTCGTTGGGCATAGCGCCTCCGCGAACCTCGAAGCGCGCAGCCGTCGAAGCGCTGCGCGCGGCCGTCGCTGCGCCAGGTGCTGCCCCGGCCGCGCGGCCGATAGCTTGCGCGGGGGAAACGCCTCCCAAGCTGATTCACGATGGAACGCGCCAGCGCGGGGCCGACGGACCGCGAGAGAGGGCCACTTTGGAACCCTACATGAAGAAGAAACGCTCGGGCGCAAGCGCCGCGCGGCGGGGCGCCGGAGGCCGCGTGATCTCATGCCCGCGCAAGTCGACCAAACTCCGCTCCTGGGGAGCGGCGCTCGTGGAGCCTACCGTGGGCGCGGAAGCCGCTGGCGCAGACTCTGCCGCAACCGCGGCGAGGGCCCGCTGCGCCCCCCCGGGGGCCGCGGCGCGCGGCTGCGCTCGTGGCGGAATGGAGAAGCCCGACGGCAAACGTCGGCTTCGAAGCCTCAGCGGCCGCGGGCGTGGCGGCGCAATCGCGAACCCGCTGTGCGAGGCAGAGCAGCCCGCCGCGAGGGCGTCCTCTCCCGACGAGCGGGGGCCCCCGGGGACGCCCCTGGCCCCCTCCCCGATCACCCCCGCCGCCTTTCCGCAGCGCCCCCCCCCCCCCCCCCCCTGTCGGCCGCGATGTGTGATATTTCTGGGGGCCCAATGTTGTCATTGGTTTTTGGGCCCCTCTTCCGCGGGGCGCGCTTTTTTGACCGCGATTTTCCTCACGCTTAAAACAATGAAACAACATCGCGTTCAGAATCGTGGGCGGTTTCGTGGGGCCTCAAAAAGGGTCGCGGGGTCGCGGCCGAAAATCGCGGGCAACATCGCGCCCGAAATCGCGGGCTAAATCGCGCGCGAGATCGCGGGGGAAATCGCGGGCGCAGAATCACGGGCCCGCCCAGTGCGCCAGCGTGCCAAGCAGGCGCGCAACATCAGCGACGGCAAGGAAAAGAGAAGAGGGAGCGGCAGCATCAGAAGCAGGAGGGCCAGCAGCAGCAGCGGGAAGAGGAAAGAGCGGGAAGCAACAGCAGGAGAGGAGGAGAGAAGGAGTCGTCGAAATCGGCCCGCCAGTTCGTCGCGCGCCCCACAGCACGCTGGACGCGCATCTCGGGGGAAACTCGCCGGCCCAACGGGCCAGAGGCATGCGAAGATCTCGGGCAACTGCCTCGCAGCAGGTCTATTTCGCGCGCGCGGGGCGGCCCCTAGGGGCGCAAAGCACACCGGCCAGGTCGGGCCAGAGAAGGCCCGCCTCCTGGGCGCGGCTTTCAGGCGCCCCAAAGCGATCCAAAAAGGGCGAAAAAAGGCGCCCAAGGCGGTCCAAGAGGGCTCCGAGTCGTCGAGCGATCGGTCCGCGACACCCACGATGGCTTCCAGACGGCCCATGACGCGCACAAGACCCCCGAAGAGGCCACCGCGAGCTGAAACGATACCTGAAAACGCGGTTCTGAACTTAGAAGGAAAATGGTAGCAGAGAGACAAAGTGGAAACATACCGGGGGCGACACCGCTCAAATGACGCGTGGAGCCGAGATTGCGCGCAAGCCGCACGCCGAATGCCCAACGTCGGAACGGGTCGGCGACATAACAACTTCTGAACAAAAGGGAAACAACGTGGAACTATTATATTTTCGGACTCGGAATAACACAAAATCGTTGCGCCCATCCGCTGGGGGGCGCAGCTTCATGACACACGCATCTTCAAATATTCCAACACCTGCCTGGCCTGCACAATTCGGGAAGCAGGATCGCAATCACGTGCACCCACGCTGACGGGACACTGAGCGACGCAAACACTGAGCAGAAGAAAACGGATCCCAAAACCTCGATCCTCGACGGAGCAAGGAGCAGGAAAAGGTGGGAAGAGGAGAGGAGGACGCGTAAGGAGGAGGAAAAGAGGGAGGAGGACGAGGAGGAGGAGGAGGACAACGAGGAGGAGGACGAGGAGGACGAGGAGGAGGACGACGAAGAGGAGGACGAGGAAGAGGACGAGGAGGAGGACGAGGAGGAGGACACGCAATGAGGAGGAGGACGAGGAGGAGGAGGAGGGATATCTCGCCCTCCTCGAAGAGGATGAGGATGAGGAGGAGAGGGATGAGGCGAGGATGCAGGCTTCTGAAAATGTAACGGGTCCTGTCTAAACCTCTGGAAGCCACTGGAAACCTCCATGCAACCCTTCTCATCTCATGTTCCGCTTCGTCATCGTCCTCGTCCTCTTCCCCCTCCTCCTCCTCGTCCTCCGTCTCATCCTTCTCCTCCCCTGCTCCGACAGATGGGCAAACCACCTGGGGGTGCCCATCCCCCCCCCGTCGCTCCTCGTCGCCCCGGCTGGGCCCCTCGTCGCCACGTGAGAGAAGCGGCATGGGCAAAAGATATCTCGACTGCGCGCCAGCAGCTACAACTCTAGAGATCAATCCTGGTTGTCCAGGACAGGCCTGGGGACAGGGGCGGTCTTTTTCGCCGCCATTCTGCGTGCCTCGCAGACTTGGAGGTCAGGCCAGCAGAATCCAGCAGAATCCTCCCTCCTCCTCCTCCTCCTCCTCCTCCTCCTCCTCCTGCTCCTCCTCCTCCCCTACTCATCTGCGCTTCTGTGCTCAGAGATGCGTGCCTCCCTGCTCCCTACTCCCTCCCCCCCCCTCATCGACGTCCTCCTCCTCATCATCGACGTCCTCCTCCTCCTCCTCCTCCTCCTCCTCCTCCTCCTCCTCCTCTCCCTACTCCTTCCTCCTCCCTCGTCGTTCTTCTCCTCCTCGCTCTCCCTCCCTCCTCTGGGCCTTCAGAGGCCCCCGCGTCGCCGCGGCCGGACGCGGCTCGGAAAGTGGGTCTGGGGCCCGGGGGCCACTTCTGGGCGGAGTGCGGTCGGGGGGGTGCCAACCGTACGCCGACGCCGATCCTGCCCAGGCCAAGCTCCTGGGCCCAAAGTGTACGCCTTCCTGGCCAGGCCTGGAAGGCGCACGTACACAGAGTCTGGGAACAGGGTTGGCTTGACTGGGACGGGTGTGGTGTCGGCACAACGTTGTCGCCCCCCTGGCTCGAATTGGCGTCCCTCGGTCGCTCCGCCACCCTCCCTTGTTCCGACCACTGCTGCGCTGGGAGCCCTGCCAGTCTCGTCGTCGCGCAGTGTCTGCTTGAAGAAGGCGATGCCGACCGTGGCCTTGGACTCGGCCAGCAGCTTGTTGTAGAGCCGACCGGGCCACGGCGTTGCGGGCCCAAGGCGTCGTCGCGATAGGTCGTGCCGGAGGAAAGAATGGGAAGAAGAGCTAACGTGGGAGGTGGGAGGAGTAGAGGAAGCAATGCGCAGCAGGTTCTCGATTTGGAGGACGCGTAGGGGGAGGAGGGAGGCATAGCAGGAAGAGCAGGAGGATGATGAGAAGGAGGAGGACGAGGAGGAAGAGGAACAGGAGGAGGAGGAGGAGGAGGAGGGGGAGGAGGAGGAGCGCCAGTACCTCCTGCTGAGTCAACGAGTCTCTAGGCACTCAGCGCCTCGTGGGTCTCAGCCAGGGGTCGGGCCCGGCATGGCGGGTGCGGAAGAATCGAGAGCAGTGGTCCAGCATTTTGGCTACTGCCGCCTTGAGGGCATCCAGTTGCTGCGGCAGAACGAGAGGGCGCCCGTCTTGATGCGAGGCCATTTCCTTGGCAACGTGGCACATCTGTATATATATATGTATATATACGTGTATAAATATATATATATATATATAGGTATCTATATACATATGTATACACACGTATGTGTATATATATATATATACAGAAGCTGAGAGGTGCTGCTAACATTGCGTTTTCCCGGGTGAGGTCCAACGCGGGATATTGCACAAGGGGGCCCACGTCCTGGACGGAGGCTGGGACTCGGGGCTCGGGGCGGGGGCACACCAAAAACACAGCTCCGCAGAGTGTCTGCAACGTGCACTCGGTCCATGGGGGGCCATCTCCCCGAGATCGTCCTGAGGTGCGGCCAGCGAGCGCTCGGAGGAGCCCGACACAAGGATTTCCCGCGCAAGGACTCATCGCGCACACATGTTCCGGGGGGCAGGACAATCGAACCACGAGCGCAGGCGACGCCCAAGTAGGACCTCAAGCTGATCGGGAGATCGAGACTCGTACGAGTACGCACATCGAGTCCTTGCAGCTTGGGCCGACGACACTCCAGGGCGGCCAAGGAAAAGGAGGAGGAGAGCAGGAGGAGGAAGAGGAGGAGGAGGATGAGACGGAGGAATCCGGACGACCCAAAATGAGAAGGAGGAGCATACGCGCGCAGAAGTATGCAGGGGACAAGAAAAGGGACACACACACACACGCACACACACACACAGACACACACACACACACACACACACACGCACGAGGACCAACGGTCTCCGTCACATTGCCCGTCCCCCCAGGCACCTCCTCGAACTTATGCTGCTCCTCCTCCTCCTCCTCCTCCTCCTCCTCCTCCTCCTCCTCCTCCTCCTCCTCCTCTTACTCCTCGTTTTACACCTTCTCACACGGGGGGCCACGCAGGTGGGCCTCCAGACCACGCGCCAACCTGGCCGCTGACACCCTTCCCGAGCGAGGATCGTGCAGGGATCGGAGCCTAGAAATGGCAGAGCTGTCAAGCCCCCTGCACGGTCAAAACCGTGCAGGGGCCCCGCCCCGTCCAAGATGCGGCCGCGACATCGGCGCCGACTCTTGTGGGCAAACACCTCTTTGCGCAAAGGGCCCCCTCCTTCTTTTCCGTCCACCCCGTCCCTCGTTCCCCTCTCCTGCTCCCCCTGCCGACATCACCCAGCCCACGGGGAGGCCGCCTCGGCCGTGCTGCGCTGGCAGCATCGCGGTGGGACAGGCCGAGGAGTACGCATCCGCAGGAGAGTTGCGTGCGGGAGCCACACCTCGGCCCGTGTCGAATCATAGATCCCCCGGGTCGACGAACTATCGCCCCCGTGCTGTCGAGTCTGGCCTCCACCGCCTTCTGCGTTGGCCGTGTGGTCTCATCCTGCCACCGTCCTCGCGCCTCGCCCGCTGCGAGAAAGTGCGCCCTGCCCTGCGACATGCCGTGCCGCGGAGCCCTGGTCGAGCCGCGGGCCACGGGCGCACGGCCAGCCGCAGCAGCGTCCGAATCCGCATTCTGGCAGCGGGCAGACGCGAATGCCTGTCCGATGGCACAGCTTCGAGATGGACATCGCACGATCATGGCGGTGGCACTTCTGACCGTCCAGGCAGGCACAAACACCGGCAAACGCGCAGTGACGATCCGTGGGCCGACCCCATGAGCTACGGCGAGGGCATTCCTTTAAACTCTGCGAGCACCCACGGGCGGGCGCGTGCTCGCACATCAATTCTTGGCGCCGCCGCCCGACGCAGCTCAAACGGAGCCGCGCGGCAGGCCCCCTAAGGAACCCTTAGATAAGGAATCCAGGGCCTCGAAGCCAGTGGACCTCCAGTCGTGGATCGGCCACGGATATCACCGCCGCCCTCATTGGATGAGGAATCCTCCAGGGTCTGGCGCCCCCTGGGACTACTCCTTAAAACATACGCCCCCCCCGCGTCGACTTCTTCCTCCACGTCAGCGCAGCAGGCTTGTCCTCGGGGCCTCGCATCGTCTTCTCCAGCGTGCGGCCACCCTCGACGGGCAGCGCCGCGCTCGTGTCTTGCGCCACTTCCCCCACCCTCGCGGCCAAGGCTCACGAGCTGGCCCGCGGGCGCATGGCCGCTCTGCGCGCCGTGGCGCTCCAGAAACCATGGGCCCCTCACCCACATCCGCACTCGAGCCACAATCACAAACGGGCCTCACGCGAGGTGACACAACGACCTCGCACGGTGGCGCACGCGGGCCGCCGGCGCGGCCGCGCCACGTCCGAAACGAGGGCGCTCGCGCGCGACCTCACAGGGGCAGCAACCGCGCCAGGGCCGGCACTGCCGGCCCCGCTCTGCTGCGCCGCTGCCTTGCTCGCTCCGCTGGCGGTGAGCGCCATCGCGCCTCCCTCGCCCGCCGTCCTCGGAGCGCGCCGCGCTGCGAGGCCGGCGCGGGGCCAGTGGGCTCCGACGGGCCGCGCGCCGTGGAGACGACGGCCCGGCGCGCGGCGGGCGGCCGGCAGCGGCATCGACGGCCAGCGGCCGCACCTCGCTGGCGCGCCGCGGGCAGCAGCAGGCGGCGCCAGGAGCGGCACGCGCCGGCCTCCCGCACCAGCCCGCGGCCCGAGAGAGCCGCGCTATTCGGGAGCGGCCAAGAGGGGGGTGTCCAAGAGGACGGGGGGTGCAAATCATGACCGGCGGCATGTGCACGGCACGGCCCAGCGGGGGTGCCAGGGACGTAATGAAACAAGAAGAGGCGCCGTGAAATCTGGGGGACATCATGGCCCCCGCCATGATATCCCCCCCCCCCTGGTCATCACCCCCCTCTTTTCCGCCCCCGAGAGTCGCGCTACAGCAGGTCCCTGGTGCTCTCCCGGAGCAGGTCCACGGTCCGCCCACCATGGCACCCAACAGTCAGCGTGCGATCTCGGGCGCGGCGGCGCCAGGGAGCACGGGACGAGCGGGGCGGCGGCCCGGCGGGGCGCGCGGCCTCGAGGCAGGGAGGCGGCGTCTGGGCGAGACTGAAGGCGGGCAGGCGAGATGCCTACACGTCCACACACGCGCGGCTGGCAGAGGATGCGACTGGGAGGGCGGCGAGCCCATCCGGGGCCGACGGCAGGAAGCACTGCTCACCCGCCGGAAGAGAAGGGTGGTAAAAATGAGGAGGGGTTAGGAGGAGGAGGAGGAGGAGGAGGATAATGGAGAAGGAGGAGGAGGAGGAAGAGGAGGAGGAGGAGGAGGAAGATGAAGAGGAGAAGGGGAAGATGGAGGAGGCGGAGGAGGAGGGGGAGGGGGAGGAGAGGTGAGCTTGGATGCATAGATACACATACATATAACCTATATATATATATATATATATAAGAGAGAAAGAGAGAGAGAGAGAGAGAGAAAAAAAAAAAGAAAGAAAGAGAGAGAAACAAAAGAGAAATAAAGGAACATCGGATGTGCCCACAACTGTCAGTGAAGAACTTCCCAACGAATCTAGCCGCACGTCAGGGTCCTACCGGGTGGTGGTGGTGGCATACATCCTGGGAGGTGGGGGGAGTAAACAGAAAGGAAGATTCCGAAAGAGGGGTAAACAGAAGAATCCGCCGACCCCGTCGGTGTGTGTGAGAGGCCCTTCGACGCGCGGCCAGCCCAACCCAAACTGAAATACGCCAGCCTCATTTGAATCGTTTTCGCAAGTAAGGGAGATCAAAGATACCGAGGGGATCGAACAACAATGCCGTAATCACGTCGAGGGAAACACCCTTCGCTTTGCCCTTTCCCGCCAGGGAGCTTGGTCCGGGGGGGAAGCAGAGGCCTTCTAGATGGGGTCCGAGTAGATGGGGTTGGAGGATCGCGCCGCATCGCCGATACATCGGCGATGCATCGGCGATGCGTCGACGATGCATCAGCGGAGTCGGCGATGCATCGGCGACGCCAGCGTGGATAAATCGGGCTCCACATCGAGCCGCATCGCCGATGCATCGGCGATGCGGCGCGATCTTCCGACCCCATCTGCTCGGACCCCTTATGGGAGGCCTAGATTGTCCCGTTCCCGCCGGGTGGGCTTGGCCCCAGGGGAACGGAACGGAACGGAAGTCTGCGTGCCAGCTCCGGTAACCGGAGCGGTCCCCTGGAGGGCAGACCGTGCGCTGAGCATGTCGGAAAATGAATGTGGGCAACGAGCACACGCAGGAAAATGCGAATAATAAATCCTCTGGTGTCCAGGTTTTTGGTCAGAGAAACCCTGCCAGCTAAGAAGAGCGAGAGGAGGAGGAGGCAGAGGAGGAGGAGGAGGAGGAGGAGGAGGAGGAGGAGGAGGAGGAGGGAGGAGGGAGGGAGGAGGAGGAGGAGGGGAGGGGGGCTGCCAGCAGCACGCCCAGGGGGGGGGGGAAAGGGGACCCAGGGTGTGGTCCTCAGGGGTTCCCCGCGGTGTGGTCCCCGGGGGGTCCCAGGAGAGGGGTCCCGGCCTCGGCCCCGGCCCCGGCCTGGGCCCCGGCTCAGGCCCCGGCCCTGGCCCCAGCCCGCCCCCGAGGAGACGGACCGCTCTCCTCCTCCTGCTTCTCCTTTTCTCCTCCTCTTCCTCCTTCCTCCTCCTCCTCCTCCTCCTCCTCCTGCTCCTCCTCTTTTGTCCTCCCTCCTCCTCCTCCTCCTCCTCTTTCTCCTCCTCTTTTCTCCTCCTCCTCCTCCTCCTCCTCCTCCTCCTCCTCCTCCTCCTCCTCTTGCTCCTCCATTTTCTCCTCCTTTTCTCCTCCTCCTCTCCTCCTCCTCCTCCTCCTCCTCCCCTCCTCCTCCTCCTCCTCCTCCTCCTCCCTTCCCCCCTCCCTCCCCCTCCTCCACGTCGTCGTCCTCCTCCTCCTCCTCCTCCTCCTCCTCCTTCTTCTTCTTCTTCTTCTTCTTCTTCTTCTTCTTCTTATTATTATTATTATTATTATTATTATTATTATTATTCTTATGATTATTATTCTTCTTCTTATTCTTTTTCTGATTATTCTTCTTATTCTTCTTATTATTATTTTTCTTATTATTCTTATTATTCTTCTCATTATTCTTATTCTTCTTATTATTATTCTTATTATCCTTATTCTTCTTATTCTTATTCTTCTTCTTATTATTATTCTTCTTCTTCTTATTATTATTATTCTTCGTCTTCTTCTTCTTCTTCTTCTTACTCCTCCTCCTCCTCCTCCTCCTCCTCCTCCTCCTCCTCCTCCTCCTCCTCCCCCTCCTCCTCCTCCTCCTCCTCCGCCTCCCCCTCCTCTTCTCCTCCTCCTCCTCCTCCTCCTCGTCCTCTTCCTCCCTTCACCACCCGCCCCATGTCCCGAGCCTTTGGCAGGGTCATCAGCTCGTCGTTGTCGTTGTCGTCTTGGTCATCGTCGTGGTCGTGGTCGTGGTCGTGGACGTGGTCGTGGTCGTCGTGATCGTCGTTGTCGTTGTTGTTTTTTATTCTGGGTCGGCGGCACCAGCCGTAGGGCTTTGACAATAACACGGAGTCAGGACGAGGAAAGATGACCCCCTGCTCCCCCACGAACCCGCCCGCAAGCAAACATCCAGCTTGGGGATATTCAAGAAGAAAGGCCCAAATCATCGCTCTGTTATGTGCAGTTATGTGTGTGCTGTGTGTATGTGCTGTGTGTATGTGTGTATGTGTGTGTATTATGCTTCCTGCCGATGCTCCGTCAAGTCAGGCGCCTGCGTTGGCACGAGATTCGACTCCTCGTCCCCTTCTCATCTTCTGGCCCGCCTATTCCTTATTATCCTCCACATCACCTCGTCCTCCGCATAAGACTACCCTGTACTTCCACACAGTTTCCTCCCCCGCATCGTCCTTAGGTGCGTCGTCCTCCTCCCACTCTACCTTGACGTCTTGGTCCTCCTCCTCCTCCTCGTCGTCGTGCTCCTCCTCCACCACCTCCATCTCTTCATGGGAGTGCCCTCATCCACCTTCTCCGTCTCCCACCTGCCTCTTCCCTAGCTACTCGCCCTCGTCGTCGCCCAACCTGTCCCCGTCCTCGTCCTACGCGTTGAACAGGAAGCCCGGGGAACGAGGAGAGGGGATGGGCGAAAGTCTCCGCGCGGAGCAAGAGCAGACGTGGCGTCGGCCGCACGTATAAATCGGTGCACCAGCGCCGACTTCCCGACGTTCGAGTCTCCTATGAGAACCACCTTCATCTTCCAGGCAGCCCGAAGAGGCGCCTGCCTGTGTTCCCTCGGGCCAAGATGACTGGGGGGGGGCGGGGGCGGTACATGAAATGTGCGAGAGAAGGGCAACTTGCAGGAGGAGAGCGAAGGAAGGAATGAGGAGGATGGAGCATGGATGAGGGAGGAAGATGATGCTGATGCTGATAAGGATGATACCAATGCGAATGATCATGGTAATGATGATGATGGTGATGATGGTGATACAGATGACGAGACTGATGATGAGTATGATGGTAATGATAATGAAGATGAAGATGAATAGGATGATGAAGAATCTGACGATGCTGGTGATGGTGGTGGTGATGATTGTGGTGATGCTCAGTATCATTATGAACATGAACATGCTTATGATGATGATTGTGATGCTGATGATGACCTGCTGTTTTTTGTGATGGTGACGATGAAGGAGAAGACGTTGATGATACTGATAAGGATAATGATAATGCTGATGATGATTATGATGAGTATGATGATGATGATGCTGATGCTGATGATGATGATGATGATGCTGATGATGATAATGATGTAGATGATGAGGAGGATGAGGATGAGGATGAGGATGCTGATGAGGAGGATGATGCTGAGTGCCTCTGGCAAGGGCAACAAGAGAGGATACGCTATACAAGCAAGCATTCGCGGAACGAGCACGCACGAGAAACATCGCGGCTCCTCGTCAACGCGGCACAACGTCGCCCTCGCACTGGCAGCAATACCGGAACCGGACTACCGAAACATCTGATGCAGACAGTCCCTCCCTTGTCACACCTCCCTCCCCACCCCCCCCACAACTCCACTCCCTCTCCACGCCGTCCCCTCCACAATATCCCTTGTTATCCCTTTCTCCCTGTGTGCCTCGCTCGCTCGACTCCCCCGCATGTGCATCCCTGCTCCCGCTCCCCTCTGCCCCCAGCTTCTTCCTCCTCCTCCTTCTCCTCCTCCTCCTCCTTCTTTTGTTTCCTGGAGTTTTTCTCCTCCTCCACCTCCTCCTCCTCCTCGCCTCCCGCAATAGCTCACTGTGGAAGCACTGGGGCCCGCGTGCTGCTTCCTCCTCCTCATCCTCCCCGCCTCCTCTGCCAACCGCTCATTTTTGAAGCCCTGGAGCCCACGAGCCCCAGAGAGCCGCACTGCAAATCCCTGTCTCGACGACGCCCGTGTCTCAAAGACATCCGACGACGTGATTTGTGCAATGCGCGGCCCCAGGAGGTCCCGACCCTCTCCCCACGGGTAGCGTTTCGCCCTGGATCCGTTTTTTTCATTATCCCGTCGACGAGTCACCACCACGGGGTGGAACACATCAGAGATCGTCGGAGATCTGGGACCCAGGCCCCCCCCCCTCCCTCGGGCTCGATCGCACAGCGCTCCTGCCCAACCGTTCCCGAGGGATCGATCGTCTCAGTGACACGCGCGCCGTTCTTCGAGCTTTGCGTGCTGCTCATTCGCTTTTCGTGTAACGACCTGCTCGCTGTTCACGCTGGCGTGGTCGTGCGGCGTGACGTCGATGCTGCGTTGACTGGGGACTGGGGGTCGATGCATTCCCCCCCACAGCTGCCCGCGGTGGCTCTCGGACCGCAACTCGGGCCTCCGGCGGCCGTTCGCGACGATCCAGGAGCCGCCAGAACGCTCGCAACGAGGCGCACCCGCCGAAACGCCCGCCGAGGCTGGGAAACCTTCAGGAGCTGGCGAGAAGCTCGAACCTCTCGAACCGAGCCGATCGCCCCTTGTCTAGAAGAAACGACCGAATAAACATGAAGTTTCGGAGTCCTGCGCGGATTTCTTGGATCGGCGCCGTCAGGGCAGGGGGGGATCCGGCGCAGATGCAAGAAATCCAGGAAATTCGCCGCCACGGGGACCCAGCGTGGACCGTCGAACGTTTTTATGGTTATGCCTCTTCTCCTTCTTCGGGAAAGGAGAAGCGGCATAAACATAAGCGCTCGTCGCCCCTGGTCGTCCTCCTCCCCACCCTCCCAGGAGTCCGCAATAGGGGGGGGGGTAGCTCAAAGGGGGTCCGCAGTAGGAGGGGGTCCCGCGATAGGCGAATAGCCCTAGGGGGGATAGCCCTGGGGGGGGTCCTACGGGGGATAGCCCCAGGGAGAGTAGCCCTAGGGGGGGATAACCCTAAGGGGGGGGGGGGATAGCCCTGGGGGGGTCCGCGGCAGGGGCGGTCCCGCGATAGGGGATAGCCATACAAGGGGTCCGCGATAGGGGAGTCCTCCTCACCCTCCTCGGAGATCCGCGCTGGTACAGTGGAAGGCCATGCCAGGAAACACCCTGCTTGCATCCAGGGTGCCAGGGGTTTCTTGGGTTTCGATGATTTTGCTATGGGAAGCGTTGCGTTCCCACACAACAGATCAGGGGACGCCCTGGGGTCTCAGGGCTGGGCTTCTCGTGGAAGGTTTCTTGTGGTCGAGCTCCTACTGTATCCCCCCCCCACCCCATCGTCGCCCCTGCTCGTTGCCCATGGACCCCCGGGGGTCTGGAGCCTGCCCCGGGCCGTCTTCTCCTGCGGGGTCGTTTTTGACCTCCCGTCGTACCACGTGCGCGCTTCGCGCGCTGAGGTTCTAATCACAGCTGCTCCACGTTCTGCGGCTCTCGCTTTCGCTCGTCTGATCGGCGACATTGCGAAGTCCGCTGCATGTGGGCGTTGCAGAGTCTCTAACCGCCTCGGCCTCCTCCCCCTCCTCCCTCCTCCTCGCCCTTGCCCTCGTCATTATCCTCCTCCTCCTCCTCCTCTTCCTCCTCCTCCTCCTCCTCATCATCCTCCTCCTTCTCCTCCTCCTCCTGCTTCGGCTCCTGCCTCGGCTCCTGCTCTCCCTCCTCGTTCCCTCCTCCTCGCCACGCCATTTTTACTCATCTTCGTCCTCCTCATATTCCTCTCATGTTTCCTCCTCCTTCTCGGCCTTTTCCGTGTCCTATGTCCTGCGCCTCCTCCTCCTCCTCCTCCTTCTCCTCCGTTTGCAGCTACTCCTCTTCCTCCATCCCCCTCCTCCTCCCCCTCCTCCTCCTCCTTCTCCTCCGCCCGGATGTTCCAAGATAGGTCTCGAGGAACAGATGGGCAGCTGTTCTCCACAGCCCAGGCAGGAATCGTGGCCCAAAGGGAGCTCCTCCTACGGCACCAAGGGGATGGTTCGAATCATTTCGGCACACCCCTCACACGGATCGCGCCCAATACTTAGCTCCACCGACAGCTCCAACAGGAGGGGTCGCATGGCGTCCCTCCGCAGATTTCGGCACACCCTTGACGCGGATCGTACCCCGCAGGCATCTCAATCTGTGGCGCCCATTGGCAATTTCGCATGGCGTCCCCACGCCCGTTTCGGCGCCGCTACGCGCGAGCCGCGCTCCACAAGGAGCTCTACCTACGCCGTCAGTGGGCGCGCTCGCGCGGCGGCCCCACAGGGCGCTTCAGCCTGCCTATACGAGCGCTAACTCCGCAGCGACCCTCTATCTGGTCTACCCCGCGTCGTGCAATATTTGAGGAGAGAGCCGCGCCCTGCGCTACACGCAGCTGCACAGAGATGGGCCCTTCGCCAGGCCAGATGATTTCTCTTTCCTCTTACATGCGCACATACAGGAACACAGACATACAATCGTGCATGCGTACATCATTGTGTACGTACATACATACGCACACATACACATAGACACAGCATCTGTGCCGATCAGGCGGCGCCCCAGGAACGGGCCTGGGTTGTGGAGCAGAGGCTTCTCGTAGATGTATTTCAAACTTGTGTAGGAAGTCCCTCAGAGGCCCGTTTGGGGCCTCGTGGGGGTCTCCTGGGTGCTTCGCGGGGGCCTCCTGGGGCCTCTTGGAGGCCTCTGGGTGGCCCCTTTGAGGTTTCTTGGGGCCTCTTGGGAGCCTCTCGGGGCCTACTGGGGGCCTCTTGGCGCCCAGGGTCGAAATTTGAACTTGTTTTTTCCCCTCTGGCCCCCCTCCTTGGGGAAGCTGTGAAAGCCCAAGAGGCGAATCAGATAAGCAATTGCATTTCCCAGAGGGGATGGATCGGTTTGCGCTTTCTGGTGCCCTCTTGGGGGGCCTCTTGGGGCGCCTTGGGGCTGTCGCGGTGTCATCTGGGGCCGTCTTGGAGCTCTCGTCTCTCGTGGGGCGCTTTTGGGGGCCTTGAGGGCCAGTCGCAGGCTGTGGTGTGCGGTCTTGGGAGATCCTCGGGCTTTCTGAAATCTCCAGGGGTCGCCCCGGGAAGCCCCTGGGGAGAAGGGGCACAAGGGAGGGGCCGGTCTGGAGCCTCGGGCCTGGGACCTCCCTTATCCGTGTGTGTATATATGTATATGTGCATATACGCATGTGTGTATATATATATATGAAACGACGAGAGGAGGTGAGGGAGTCTCGCCAGAGCCTGTCCCATCCTCAAAGGCCTCCCGCACGGGGTTCGAGTCGACGGGGTCGGAGGATCGAGCCGCATCGCCGATGCATCGCCGATGTATCGCCGATGCATCGTCGACACCGGCGATGCATCGGCGCCGTCGGCGTGGAGGAAATCGGGCTCCACATCGAGCCGCATCGCCAGTGCATCGGCAGCGGCGCGATCTCCCGACCCACTCTGCTCAAACCCTGCAGTCAACCCGTATCAGAAGGTTGCGCGGTGAGGATGCAGGGGCCTTGGAGGCCCACGTGAACGTTTTTCGAACGAGGCTGACCAGCGAAAGCCGCTAAGGATGGGCCGAATGGGGCAAGGATGCAAGGGTACCCCTGGGAAGGCTGCTCAAGCCAATTGTGAAGGTTGGGAGCCTATCTAAAAGAAAAAACAAAAAACATCAACTTTCGACGGTCCGTGCGGATCTCTTGCATCCGCGCCGGTCCTCCCGCCCTGGCGCGCGGAGCGCGCCCGCCGGAGGCGCCGCCGGGGGGGGGGGGCCAGCGCGGCTCCAAGACATCCGCGCGCAGCGCCACAAGTGTATGCGTGTGGCGCTTGTTCTCCTTTGGTTGCCCACTGTCCCCTCCTGACGTCGCCCCCGACCCTGACCTCATGTCGGGCGTGTCCCCCTATACAGAAGGATTTTCGACG